TGTAAACAGACTCTTTGAACAAGAGAAATCCTTAATAGACAAGGAATTTAGTTTACACATTATACAAGTCTGCAGTCTGTAATGCCCAAGGCTGGGACATCTTCTGTGGCAATTGCTAAGGTGCTATTATTGCATTTGCCCATGCAATGTTTAAGTGCTCAGTATTTAGGAGCCCAGTGGCACTAAGGTTTACGCACAAAGGGGTTTCAAGATCTGTACCATGTACATTAAGGAATAGGACAGAGCTATCAGCCTTGGCCTTCACCAGGCCATGGGTAAAATAGTACTTTACTTTCAACCAAGATCTGACTTGCAGGAGCTTTCATACAGGTGTGGACCTGTGGTTTGCATAGCTACAACATCCCACTTCCCAGCTTGAACAAGCTGTGTCCAAGGGGATGGGAGAATAGCTCCCAAGCAGTCCAGTACTCCAGAGCTGCTGTTCTGTTCAGCCCTAGGATAGCCACACCAGCAGGGAAGCTTCTCACCACTGTGGCCCAGCGCAACTGTTTAAGAGCTGCCATGGTCTTGTTCTAAACAATTTAGAATGTGTTTTCTAAACATCCTGGGTTCAGTTCAGGAATTTATTTATTTGAGAAGCATGAGTTTGGGGTGTGGACAATCTAGGTTCCATTCATTAGACTATTAACACACGCAGAGATCCAGCTCAGAAATATTAAACTCACCAATGAACAGAGACACTGCCCCACAGTATGGTGAAATGACCAGCTCTGACACTTCATCTACAGAGAGCTTTTCAGACTTGAGCTTGATAAAATCTTTTGGCACATCTTTGCTTTCATCCATAGCTCACCAGGAAAGCTGAAACCAGACAGACTTGTTTTTGGCGTTACTAGCATTGGCCAACTGCTTTTTATGCAGTGCTGATGCCCCAAATTACACAGAAAACATGCACCGTCTACTTCCTCACCCCGAGAGACCCGTCTCCATGGCAAATTCACTTCTCGGCAGACTTGCTGAGAGAATATTAACTGCAAATATCAAGCAATGACCTGGTTTTTAATGCATGCAGGTTCCTTCCTGGTAGGAAAGTCTGGTCCGGTAGGACGAAACTGGAACTAGTCTGAGGCCCCAGTTTAACAGTACAATCAACCAGCATGGACCACTGTGCTAGTAAATCTGTGGTAAGATTGTCAGACCGTCCTCCCTATCTTATCCTGAAATCAAACACAGTTTAAAACAGAGATTTCTGATAAACACAGATTAGAGTTCTAATTCTAAGTTTAATATGCTCTCCAGGACATTCAGGACCTTATACTATCGGTCTGTTTCAGTGACACAGGAGACACTTCCAATTTCTCTGAGTAGAAACCAGTCATCTGTTCATCTAAGAATGAGGATGAAAAGAAGCTGCAGCAAATACATGGACTAGCACTAGAAAGCTTGCAATGAAATGAAGCTATTCTAAGGACACCTGTTCCTTTGACAGCAAAAAAAAAAAAAGGTTTTTTTTAAGCAGCACTCAATTCTTTTTCTGTATCATCTTTTCTGTTAAAAAGTGGCAGGAGGTTTTTCATTGTTATCTTATTTAGGCAAGCTGGGTATCTACTGGCAGCCAGAAACAACTACAAAAGAGTAACAAGAACTAAAACCCAAATTCAAAACAATGCCTGACCTCTCTGGCAATTTTTTTCCATTTACTGCATACGTGTTAATCATTTACTGGTGCACCAGCTTATAGTTTCTGGTCAGCCCAATGGTTCTTTCCAGCAGGAAACACAAGTTATGCTTTCTCAAAAGAGTACCGGGGTGGAGGGAGAGAATTGCAATCACATCTGTGGACCTAAACAAAAAGAGATTATTGGAACATTATACAGAATCCGTGAGATATGTTAGCACAGAATGACACTCCATAGGAAACTAAGCAAGGAGTGATACCTACCTTACAGAACCTGGCCAGATTCAGCCTCCACTAATTGGTGGGATGATGGCAACCTCGTCTCCGGGCTGCAGGACCAGGAGCTGATCTCCAAGAAGCACGTACTCCTGCTGAACAGCAAAAACCACTTGATCCCGGATGACAGCAAGCCTGAGGGGGATTGGCAGGAGCACAAATAGGTTTCTAAATAGAGTGTTTGCATTTAACCATGAGATTTCATTAAACTGGTGCACAGTCTAGGGCAGCTGAGGTAAATACCACTGAGGCTTACGCAACTCTGCTTCCAATACACTTTCAAAAATATAACAAACACTCACCTCTTACTTTTGGATTTTCTTGTGGTGGCTAAGGAGAAACCAATTCAGTATAATTTTCAGAAGTCAGGAATTGGATTTGTCATAGGCCTACATCAGAACAAACCAATGTATACCAGACCCACTTCAGCAGCTTCTAACAAAGTAGGTAATTCAAGAGGTAGCAACCATCCAATTTGGGATTAGAAGGAAATGTTTCCCTAATTCAGTCTGGCTGGACTGGAGCAATTTTCTTATATGGCAAGAAGCATTGTGGGATGCTGTTCGCGAGGTCTCATGAAGATTCAGTGGTCAGAGAGTTGCTCTTGTTGTGTAACCTCACAGTTTAAGAGGCTTTGGGTCTTTTGTACTTACAGGTCTGAAATCTGCTATCGATAAGGAGTGGCAACAAAACTAAGACGTCAGATATGGTGTGTTTTCTGTCAGATCTTCTATGTATTTTTTGATTTCACATCTGTGAGATGTTGCTGTGAGAGTCCACAGCTCTGGATACCATAAGGCAGGGAGTCACTTTCATGACTAAGTGCAATCACACAGTGAGTATGAAGGCAACACCAGTAAGACACCAGAAAAAGAGGGCCAACATTTTACTTTAGAAGGTGCAGGCATGATAACTTTATTGTTTGAGACTACAAAATCTGGCACAGACAGCAGAGAGGTGTATTGCCTAGAAACAAGTAGGCATGCCAAAAGGGTACAAGTAGAAATCATCTTATTTCCTACTAGCCAGATAGACAAAAGTAGGCAAGGCACAGGCTGAGTCAGTAGCACTGACTCAGAGGGCAGACTGAAGGGAGGGACTGTATGAAAGTAAAGCAAGCCACTAAGGAACAGAGCACAACTGTGGAACTGAAGCGCTCATTAGAAGGATGGGCTCTAATTAGTGTCACTTGCAAGTTAATTTATTGGGGAAAATGGGTGGAACAGAAGAGCATTGTCAAGTACGCTCAAGCTGCAGTTTGAATATCCATTAGCAATGTGAATAGAAGTCTGTGGTCAGTGCCCCACAATTATGTTGAGTTTTTCCAAAAAAGCTAGGAGCAGAAGCATTTTCCAAGAAGGCCGCTGTGAAGTAACTGCACATGCAAAATGTACTGCCCCAAATCATCATTCATAAAAGGACAAAGTTAACAAACTATGGCAAACTGACCAAAGGTGCTGCTGCTCCTTTTGACACCGAGTAATAGGCTGCAAAGTAAAATACACTCATTCCCTACTGCCTCCTCCCCCAAAACACCCTTAGTCTCAATTGTCTGTGAGGAAAAGGCCCCTGGTCTAACATTTGGTTAGAGCTTCTAATTTGGAAACAGATGCTATTGCTAAATAGTTAATTTTTTTCATAGCCTTTGAGAGTAGATCTAATGAAGAAGGGTGGTGCCTAAAGGAAGACTTTGGCACCTAAGACCAAAGTTATGGAAATTCCAGTGCATTCAGCACTAAATCCCGAGGACCTCAACCTCTGTTAGACCTTTTCTTTTTTTTAACTCCCCCTTCCAAAACAGTGTTGCACCTTTGTCTATCAGACTCATTCTTGACAGGACTGAGCACCTTCCCTCAGCCTTAACCTGAGGGGGGATTTCTGCCGACACCCCCAAAAAGCACCAGTGCCGCAGGGGTCCTTACAGCGCACACCTAATGCTTTTTCAGGACCAGACTCCCTACGAAATGCAATCAACAGTGGTTTTTTTCTTTGCCAAAGCAGAGGAGGTTGAAAGTGACTGAGCCTATTTCCTATGTAAAGGTTGAGTGGCTGGAAGCCTGTGGCAGGGCTTCAGCTCCCTTCCTGACCTGCCTTCCAGTGTGTGCCATAAGCTCAGACGAATGGCTAACGGTACGGTTAAAGATACGTGATTGAAAACACCTGCACATTATCATTAATTTCTTATTTATTGTCCTGGCTGTGCTTGATCCCTCCTTGAGACATCTCACCTTCTCCACAAACTAATAACACAGCTCAGTTTTCGCATGCGGCGGAGTTACCATGCTGTGGCCCTCCTGGACAGCGGGCCACATGTCTTAAAGTGCCCCTCAGGCACAACTTTTGGGTACATTTATTGAACCTAGTCTTTCCTTGCGTATACGTAAAGCTACACCATCTCCAGCTGGCCAAAACACAAAACGCTTGCTGCAGGTTACAAGAACAAGGTAATGTCACTGTTTTCATGGTATCACAGTACTGATACATGTTCCAGCTCAACTCTAAACGCTGAATTTGTATTTACCAAAAAACTCCCAACCACGCTGAACTTTGTGCACCTCAGCAGTAACTTTCCCGAATACCTTGGGTGAACCTTGACGATCTCCTCCCAGAGCTGCAGGGAGGTGATCTGCCGTGGCACCGAGAGGGTCTCGCTGCGCAGCCCCGCCAGCTCCGCGCTCCTGGCGAAATACAGCACCGAGACCTGCTCGGGGAACAAACGCCGATCAGGGGAGCGGTGCCTACTGAAAAAAACCGCCACCGCACATTAACTTCTCCGAAAATACCAAAACGAACAACCGAAACCAAACCAGCCTGAGGAAAAGCTTTCCCCGGCTTTTTTTTTAATGCCGCTAAGATCTGTCGCGTTCCTCCAGCCCCGGCTGTCAAGAGGAGAGCAGGGAAAGGGGGGGAGGGGTAAGTCAGCGGGGATCCGTGCCCCGCTCCCGCCGTCCAGGCC